GGTACTTTTGACCTTTGGAGCTAAGCTCAAACCAATCAGACACCACCCTTGTGGTTAAATTAAATATATTTTTATGTTTTCTAATTTTAAGTAAGTATTTTAATAGAATTCTTGTTTACATTATCTCAAATTTTATGCTATTTTTATCGTTAAAACAAATAAAAAATAATATTTATGATTATTGTTTTAATAAAAGTGTATTAATTTTTAAAATTTTGATTAGTCATTTTTTATAGAATAAAAAACATTATTAGAAAAGAAATAACATTTATTTTGTTATCAATTTAATAAATCAACATATTTACGAGTACGATGCAAAAATAAAACATTATGTCTTTATGATATTTAATAATATATTAAATCTAAAAATATTTAATAGTGACTTGTTTTGAAGGTATTGGCGAATTAGAAATATCAATTATTTATTTATTTAAAAAGTTCAGAGACCTAATTGGTTTTTTTTTCTAAATTTTTCTCTTTTTTTAAATAAGTAAAACATAGAAGAACTGATATATGTTTACACACACCACACACACACACACATATATATATATATATATAGGTTCATTCAAGGAAGAACTGATTAGTTTGTAATAATTATGAGATCCAATCTCAACCACAAATTAATGGATAAATTAGTAAATTAATATTTTTGGTAATTTAACTTAAAATTATAATTAAAGGGCATTTTAGGTATTTTAAATTTTTTATCTCTCCCCTCTCTCTCTCTCCTGCCTCCGGCCTCCAATGAAGACCATATGATACCACTGTGGTATCACTGTGATAGATGGGTGTTTATTAGTGGTTAATCATCGGATACGACGTCTTGGTCAGACAAGATGACCGGAGGAGGTCACTGGATTGGTGGTGGGTGCCGGAGAAGGCCATCGGATTTGGTCCCTGTGTGTCCGTGTGTGTGTATATATACACATATATTAAACTAATTAAAGTAAATTGGAATATTAAACTAATTAAAGTAAGTTGAATAATCAACACAATTTACTAATTTACCCTTTGATTTATTTTAGTAAATAACATTAATTATCTAAAATGATTGGTTCATATTGGACCTCACAGTTACCATAAACTATCTAGTTCTCATTTGATTAGGCCCTATATATATATATATATATATATATATATATATATATATGGGCTGGTTCAAATGCTAACCAAGATTATCATGTTAACTTTGTTAACCGATCTTGACCGTTAATTTGAATAATAAACGGTTGTGATTTAATGATATTTAAAAATTAATTATTAAATTAATATTTTCAATTAACATATGTGAACAAAATATCAAATGGTATTTAGGTAAAAAGTAAT